ACGTATGGGCAGGTATTATTGGCCATAATGTAATAGGACCATTCTTCATAGAGGGAAATTCAACTTCGGATAAATACTTCCGATTATTGCGAGACAATATTATTCCTAGTTTAAATGTGCTGTATCCAAACAGGGAGCATATTTGGTTTCAGCAAGATGGTGCATCAGCGCATTTTGGTGTACAAGTTCGGCAATTTCTTGATGAGGAGTTTCCAAATCGATGGATACGACGACGAGGTGAAATTGAATGGCCAGCGAGATCACCGGACCTCACACTCCTGGATTTTTTCCTGTGGGGGCATTTAAAAACAAACGTCTACGAAAGTAGACCATTAGATCTTAACGACCTTAGAGATAGAATTCTTGGTGAAAGTCGATCTATACCAGGTGAAATCTTCGGTAATGTTATCCAGGAGTTTAAGGACAGGTTAGGTTATTGCCTAGCCAATAATGGAGCTCATTTCGAACATTTGTTGTGATTATTTTTAGTGTTTATAACAATAAACAGTTTGAATTAGTTTTTTTACTTGTTCCGTCACTTTGACAGATAAGATCCCTAAACCCCATATTAGTGAATTTGTCTTGCAAAGATCTATCGATATCCGTAAAAATTTACAGGGTGTGTCATTTAAAATAAAAAAGTTTGCATTTTTATTGACTCACCCTGTATTATTACATAAGCGATTTCACACTTGAATGATCCGGAGCTATTCGTTACAGAGGCATACCAATTTTAAGAAAAAAATATTTAGCCGTTTTTAAGATATCACCAATATTCCAGACTTTTTTTACACCCTGTATAGTAGTTGCACGTAGTTGTCTGTGGTAGTTGTGTACCTTCATTTTACCTTTACAGGTTTAACTTTGACATTTGCCAAATCACCAAAAATAGTTGTATTGTTGATTCATAACCTAGTCCATAACATCACTATACTCTGTGCAACGAAACTGGAGGAGAAAACATGGCGGAGATGGTCGGCCTGGTCTACACTGCACAAGTATTTGCAAATTTCATGATGTGGAATTACCAGTGGCGTCGGTACCTACTTATATTATGACCTGCTATCATAATTTGATATCAAAAATCATGTAGTACCACGTTATTCACTATATTTTGACCCCCCACCTGCAGCCTTTACCTTCACAGGTAGATGATAAGTGTACATACAAAAGTTGTGCAGTTTTAGCTAAATTTTTAGAATCCATTATCAGAAACAAAAAAATATTGTCAGAAATTTGAAATTTTGTGTACTTTCAATTTTTTTCGAATGGAATGCCTTATATTTAGTTCTATATTCTTGAAAAACAGAATTTTCCGATTCTAGAAATTTATAGTTTGTCTATATTTGGTTGAGCCGTCTCCAACATATTTGGCTCTAAAAATTATGAAATAGCTATTTATACAATAAGTTACGAAATGAGCGTTTTTTAGGCACGCGACGTGAAAATTGTCCAACGAGGCAAAGCCGAGTTGGACAACACGTCGAGTGACTAAAAGACATCGTTTCGTAACGTATTGTATACAAGATTTTTTCTACTGGCATTTTATAAATTACAAATTTTATTTCATGTGAATAAATCGATTACGCCCAAAATCTTTGTTTCCTGCTTTTACTTGACACCTGACACTTTTCATGCGAATTTTTTTTCAAGATTCGACATCAATAATTAAAATCCTAGAAAGTAGGTAACAACACAAAGTTCTGTTTTGATTAACCCAAACGTTCAATTCAGTAATTTCATTTTCAATATTCATAATAAATACAAAACAAAATTCAAATATGTGTTTAGGGTGTCACTTTTACGCACTGAGTGCTTAAAAGTAACTTTCACGCACTCAGTGCTTAAAAGAATGTCGTTTCAAAACTAAAATGACAATCGAAAAGTTGCTATTATGAAACGTCAGTAGAAAAATACTATTCTACTGACTTAGATTTTGTGAGCCATTCTACCTGTAAAGGTGAAAATTGCAGGTAAAATTTGAGGCACTTGGTTCCTTTGATAGTATTTTTATAATTTTTAGAGCTAAGTATGTTGCAGACTGCTCAACCAAATATAGACGAACTATATATTTTTGGAATCGGAAAATTGTGCTCTTCAAGAATATAGAATCAAATATAGGGCGTTGCATTTGAAAAAGTTGAAAGTACGCAAAATTTCCAATTTCTGATAATAATTTTTTGTTCCTGACGATGGATTCTAAAAATTTACCTAAAATTGCACAACTTTTGTATTTACACATATCATCTACCTGTAAAGGTAAAGGCTGCAGGTGGGGAGTCAAAATATAGTGAATAATCCTGTACCTACACTTGGCCAATTATAAAACCGGCACGCATTTTCCTATTGTAGCTGGGTTCGGCTTGCACACTTCGCGCACTCCGAGTGACTCCGTTCGCACTCCAGCCGTTCGGGTATTGCCTTTTAACGAATCAGATAACGGCTGGAGTGCGAACGGAGTCACTTGAAGTGCACGGAGTGTGCAAGCCGAACCCAGCTGCAGTTGTATTGTGTAAATCGACTTTTTTAACATCTCAAAAATGACAAAAAAGTCAAGTCAGTGTCATCTTTGAACTAAACATAGGTAACATAAAAACATATGCATTTACCATTGAAATGGCATTTACTCGGTTCAGCTTTGACATTGACAGAAACTGTCTGACCTAATGGCGATTTCCATTTGTCATCAGTGCCGCACTGAGTGTATCCGCATTTTTTTCTAAAAGCATGTAACATGTAAGGATAAGAATACATTTTTTTTTGCCCTGATTCGACAAATGGAAAACGCTATAAGTTTTTCAGAAGAGACTTTTTGATGTTAAGCCTGACTCACACTAGACAAATTTGAAAAATATGTATTGCCTGTACCAGTTTTATGTTTGGTTAGTGTACAATTATTATAGAATTTTTGCGCAGTCTACTTACACTTAGGTAAATGAAAAACCTACACCCTAGTGAAATAGTCAAATAAAAAAATGCAATACAATCATTTAGGAAAACAAAATTTCAAAATCTAAATTGAGCGTACGCCACATCAAGTGAAATTATATTCCGATTTATCCCATTTATTTTAAAATGTGTACCCGCCCTTTACTTTACAGGGTACATCGGTCTAGAAATTGACAAATAGTACCTAGTCTAACGAACCTGTAGAAGGTTAGGTAACTTGATTACTCCGTATAGGTTTATTAGACGGTTAGATATACGATTCGGAAAGACTTTAGCCACACCACTGACACCCACTGATCAGCCATACCCATCACTGTTTTGTCGTGACGTTGACGTTTGACGTTGTTAAAAAAAATGGGCGGGGGATGATGGAGGTGAAGTGAGGCAAGTGGTTGAAGTGAAGTGGCTTACATCTTCATCAATAAAATGATGGCTTACACTCCTATACCTATTTATTTTCAGTCAGTTTTTCCCAGAATTAATCGAGGATTTTAACTAATTTAGTGTTTGATTCATATTCTAATTCTACCACCGACTCGTATTAAACCCAATTCATCATAATGTTTCAAACCTAAGTAGATAACTACTCGAATTAGGTACTTAATGAACGTTCAATATTCAGTAAGTAATAAAGTCGTTGAATGGACCCTAAACAATATGTCAGAACTCTTTGCATCTTTATCAATGATGAATATTTGTTAAACTCAAAATCAGGAGTTTCTTGAACGCATATGGAATGACTCATCTTTGTTCAGGTAGGTAAATCTTGACTTGAGGCATCTCCCTTACACAATGACTATCAAAATCGTATTATAAAAAAGCCTGGGTAGCACCATAAATTAAAATGGAGCACGGATTCGGGAGGAATGTCTCTAGAAACTCAGTCACATGGTTTCGACATATTCTGAGCTTGAGTGACCCGATTTGCTACAAAGGTTTTTCAACGACTAGGACATCCCTTAATTCAACATAGAGTTATCGTCGAGTCTGTCCAATACAAAACAGTGTCAAAATGTATCTTCAAAGATTCTTTTACCTTTTCAACCAGTTTACAGGTAAGAACACCCGCGCACAGCTCTAGGCGTGGTAACCTGATCTTTTTTTATGGGATTTACACAACATTTTGAAAAAATGAGGCTAGAAGAACTATATTTTCCAGAGCTTGTTAAACCGACAATATAAACGCATCCGCCGTAAGCCCTTTCTGAAGCATCTGCAAATCTATGGATATGTACAACCTCCCATTTATTAGTCAAAACATGTCAAGGAATGATAATTTGATTTTAAAAATTGGAGGTTTTTTCAATACCAATCAGACCTCAAAAAACAAATACACAAAAACCAAGTCTTCAAAGAGATCCAAAGAAAACGAGACTATTAGTATACAGAAGTAACAAATCAGAAGCAAGCTATCACCCTCAACACAAAACATCACAAATTTAGGCTTGATAAAATAACACAAGAACCACAAACATCGAATCAAGATATTGTAGAGTGTCAGAAAGTCAACCATCGACAATCAAAACACTGGAGCCAACACTGCAACAAACATCAAGTAAATACAATATCCAGTTACTGAGTCATTGGCGAGTCAGTTCTGAGAGGGCATCTATCAGAGTCAGGTAAAATTTCACCCTCAGAAACTATTTCCAAACCATTAAGTTAAACATGTTATAGCGGAAACTTTATCTCCAATTCCCAAAACTCAATGAATAATTCTAATGAAGCTGCAAAGTTGACTTCAATTTTTATGAAAAGGTAACTGTTAATGCCTCAAAAATTATCAAGACTCTAAAATGTTTTCCAGTAAAAATGAAATTATTCATTTTAAATTGTATTTTGTAAATATTAAAATTGTCAATAACATGAACTTCGAAATTTTTAATAATTACAATGCAATTTGAAAATAAAATATTGAATTTCTATTGTAAATCTTAAAAGGTTCACATTGTTTGTAATCGTTTATTGTGTCATTCTTCCTTTTCATCTTCGTCGTCGTTGCCTTTTTACTCTTTTTGAACCTGACTGGATGGCGAATGCCGAAAGCGCTCCTACTACGCAACAAATTGAATATTTTGCATGGAATACAAATTGTTTCCTTATTTATGTTATTATTTAATATTTCACAAATAATAGTTTTTTTTTTCCAGTTTGCAAAGTTACACGAAAACCTCGTCAACCAACAAAACATGGCAAAACATCTACAAATAGTAGTGAATCTATTTAGGGTATTTTGCTTTGAGGAATTAAATAAAACTAGCACATCTTACAAGGACGTATGCGATATGATTATAGATTTCAACGAAACAAATTTCCTAAAATTATCCTAATCCACCACCAGCGAGTGAAGCCAGAGCAGCGTTCGGGATACCAATTGACGGTTCCATAATTTTAGTTTGAGCAGTGTAACCGTTTTCATCAGAAGTGTAATCTGTGTAATGTTCCAAACCGTCTGTGCCAATAAACGTGTAAAAACCGCTTACTATTAGGATTTGTTTGCCGTTTTTCGTTATTAGTTCGCCGCGTTCTTCTCTTTGTTGACCATCGTCCAAGTTATATCTGAAATAAAATAATAATTAGTACATCTCTCATAGAGATGGCGTTAGTAGTGTTTTTTGGGACAAAAAAAAAGAAGAATTTTGGTTATATCGTAATAAGTTGTATAAGACATAATGACAAATACAAGGTACAAGTACAAAATACCCCATTTCCTGGGTGACAAGTAAATTGCATCTTGTATCCATTTATTCCGGGTTATAGCATTGACAGACATTATATGTTTGTCTCTTGTCACTTTGTATCATTGTATTTGTCATTGTCTAAGTAGGACGTAAGTATCGAGACATTTGTGTGATTTTTTTTATTTAAGAGCCTCCATCATTATTTACATAGTGTGAAAGAGTCCCTTGTAAAAATATATTATTTTTTGAGAAATTCATCAACAATTTTGATTGGTTCACGTCACAATTCGGTTGTAACCGGCATTGTCGGATTGTCATTTTATTCTAGGTAAAGTTGTAGGTACTATTTCAATTATAACTACGTGATAAATGAAAAAAAAGAGACAGGAACTTACTTAAAAAAATATCCATCATTGTTTATTTCATTTCTATATTCCGTAATTGTGGGTACGCTATTTTGATTCAGCGATATCGCATAACACAATTTGATGCACACGAACAAGGTCAATAGGTTTTTGCACATCATTTTTAAGTCGGATCTGCTTTGAAACTGTTTGGGAATTATGAAATTTCGATGCTTTAAAGGTTAGTAAGGTATTGAAAAAATATCAGGTTTTTGATGGATATGATGATACTATTTTTTCAAATATTTTTATAGGTATAGTAGATGAGGTTGATACCGGATGCTTTGTCTGTTATTATGTCTCGATAGTTGACCAAGACCTTCATAATATGGTAAAACTTAAGTAGGTATATTTTAATTGTTTTTTTGCTTCGTTGTAGGTATGTGACTTATTTTTGTGTTCACTCATCTTATGAGAATTTAATCATTTTTCCAATTTCTCTTGTTCTAATTTTTTTGTTTCAATTTTTGTCTAATTTAGGTTTTAAGACAAGGCCCTAATACTCTGAATACTGAAAGGTTGCTAGGGCGTTGGTGAGTCCGAAGGGCATGCTCAAAAATTCGAAGTGGCCATTTCTGTACTAAATGCCATTTTTCCAATGTCCTTTGCACTCATTTGTATTTGATGGAACCGACTAGCCAAATCTAAGGTTATTCTTGTAAAATTCTTATTAAAATGTAATGTTTGAAATTCTTTTCCGTTGCTTCTGACTTCTTTCAAGTCGTTTATGTAGTTCCACTTAGCGATATACTGTCTTTGTTAGCTGGAATTGAATTCCTAGGTTTTCTTCCCATCATCAATTTGGGTCTTTGCATTTTAGAATTATATTTTTGGCTATTTTTACAACGGATTCCGCCTGCTGAGGATACCTAGAACTGCTTGTGATGTGACTTAACCCATATGTCTGAGCAAATTGTTTAAATATGTGGCTAGAAAAACAAGGCTCATTATCTGATCTAATGGTTTCTGGTATTCCCTATCTTGACAACATGGATTTCAGCAGTGTTGCCAGAGAGCAAAAATTTTCCGTATCAAAATTCTACCAGATTCAGTAAAAATGTACCAGCTTATAATAGGGTGGGGGTGACCATACGTTTTGAATGTCACTTTAGAAATAACATTTCAAGATCTACTGGATTGGAACCCGAGTGAAGTTGGCTACAAAGCAGCGTTGCCACCTGTTGTGTATGTAATTAATTTGAAGAAATACACGGAGGTAATTTTAAAGATATTTATTGCAATCACTCAAGATGCGAGTCAAATACTGACATCATGAAAAACCCGACCAACTATCTGAGCTGAAAGGCTGCAGGAATGCAGCCTTGAAATATTGTTATAAATAAACAACTTATAAACTAATATTTATTAACTATATACAGAGTGTATATGGAACACCGGACACCACCTAAAAAAAAAAATATAAATTCCCTAAAAAGTTGTATTTTTACTGATTTTTTTTGTGCGTTCTTAATTTCAGCATTTAAAAATGAAAAATTTTTGGCTGAAAATGAAGGACATTCAAAGCCTCATACCTCAAATCTGTTTTCCCGGCCTGGAAAAGCGCAAAATTCAAAGAAAAACCTCTGGAAAGGACATTCCAAAACCTAGGTACTTGATGGAACTTGAGTTTTTGTCACTTACCCCATTGGAAAACTAAAAGTTTTTGGTACAAAATGAAGCAAACTCAAAGCCTCGTAGGTATTTAAAACCGGTTTTTCCGATCGAAAAAGCCTTGGAAAAGCAGAAAATCCGAAGAAAAACCTCTGAAAAGGACATTCCAAAGCCTACTTGATGAAATTTGTTTTTTGTTACTTACCCAATTGGAAAACTGAAATTTTTTAGCACAAAATGAAGGAAACTCAAAGCCTCGTACTTTAAACCAGTTTTTCCCTGGAAAAGCGAAAATTTTAAGGAAAAACATGGATAAAAACACTTAAAATGGTCAACTGTCCTAATTGGCAAATCACATTTATTACAAAGTTTATATGATTGAAGTTGGCTACAAACGATGTTGCCACATCAAAACTTCCAGAAAAAGCATTTAAATGGGATTTTCCTAATTATTGCATTTAAAACTTTAAATTTGTGCTAGAAAATGAAGAAAACTCAAAGCCTCATTGTACTTAAAATCGGTTTTCCCCCGACTGAAAAAGCCCTAAAAACGCGGATAATCCGAAGAAAAACCTCTAAAACGGACATTCCAAAGCCTACTTCATGAAACTTGAGTTTTTGTCACTAACCCCATTGAAAAACTAGAAATTTTTAGAACAAAATGAAGAAAACTCAAAGTTTCGTACTTAAAACCGGTTTTCCCGATCGAAAAAGCCCTGGAAAAGCAGAAAATCCGAAAAAAAACCTCTGAAAAGGACATTCCAAAGCCTACTTGATGAAACTTGAGTTTTTGTCACTTACCCCATTACAAAAACTAGAAATTTTTAGTACAAAATGAAGAAAACTCAAAGCCTCGTACTTTAAACCAGTTTTTCCGTTTTAAAACGGCCTGGAAAAGCAAAAATTTCGAGGAAAAACATGAATAAAACACTCAAAATGGTCAACTGTCCAAATTGGCAAATGACATTTATTACAAAGTTTACATGATTGAAGTTGGCTACAAACGATGTTGCCACATCAAAACTTTCAGGAAAAGCATATAAATGGGATTTTCCTAATTATTGCATTTAAAACTATAAATTTGTGTTAGAAAATGAAGAAAACTCAAAGCCTCGTACTTGAAATCGGTTTTCCCGACCGAAAAGTCCCTGGAAAAGCGGAAAATTCAAAGAAAAACCTCTGAAAAGGACATTCCAAAGCCTACTTGATGAGACTTGAGTTTTTGTCACTTACCCTATTGAAAAACTGGAAATTTTTTGCACAAAATGAAAAAAACTCAAAGTCTCGTACTTCAAACCAGTTTTTCTGGCTTAATACGCCCTGGAAAAATGGAAAGTCCGAGGAAAATCTGGATAAAAACGTAAACACGTCACTGCAAAATGGCCGACTAAAAGCGACGTTGCCGCATGACAACAATTACATTTTAAATGGTTTAATTTAACTAAAACCTGTTAAATAATTAAATAATAACGATTATAAAACAATACATTTTCCAAATAAGGTCTTGGAAACTTGTTTTTAGTTTAATTTTAATGAAAAAATGTTGTAATTATATGTGAGTAAGACAAAGACAACAATAAAGTAGTATACGTTTGCAAAACCCCCAAATGGGTGAGATAATAAAGTAGGATGCCATTTAAAATGCAAAATTATCAAATTACGATGGAAACCAAACAAAGCAAATATTTGATAAAGTAGTACCCACTTAAATATAAAAAATTGATAGGTAACAAAAGTACCATTAAATTGGCAAGGGCTGAAATCCCTAGTCCGGAACTAAAGGCCCGCCCACACAGCGCTGGTTTATGTGGATAAGGTTAGATACTCTACTAGACAAGAAATTAGTTTGCTACGTTGTCGTGATCACGTCACGCTTTTTATAGAACTTTGGTAGCGGTCGTGATCCGTGACTTTTTAGATATCAGTGATTAAATCACAGTTCGTGATATATCGCTCATCACTTCTTTTTTGAAATCAGAATTCAAAGGGGAAAACTCGAATTTTTGAAGTGAAACTTCTTAGGCGGCGATATGATATTCGGACGAGAATAGAAATGCAACTTTCCAGAATACAAGAACTTTTATCCATCTCCAGAGTCTTAAGTCTTTAAACTCCTCAGTTTTCTATCTAATTTCTACTGTTAGATATATCTGCTATTGAAATGTTTAAAGTGTAATCTTCAATTTCCTAAATATCTTCAAAGGCCTTAAAAGTTAAAAGCTAATAGTCAAATATCAACTTTCAAATTGTTCTACCTTAGAAAGAATGATCTTCGATATTTTAGGGTTCTTCAAAAACTTCATTTAAATGTAAATCTAAATATTCTTATATATCCTTTGATAATGCTGCAATTATTGGTTTGTTGTAACTAGGTTTGATAAGTTGTGGTAAAGCTTCCTTTCCAGAATTAGGGAAACACTGTTAAAAATGGTACGTTAAATCATATTCTGTTGTGTATTGGAAATCTCTAATATTTTTATCCCTAAAGCCACAACAGATTTCACTTAAAATCAGTAAATTTTGAACCAAAATGCCGTGCGGTCGTCGGCAATCTTACAACGTAAATCCAAGCAACAAAAAAGACAATTCTTTTAAGCTATTTATTACGTTTTTATTGGCAGTACTTTTGGTTTATCTTGTGATTTATGCTTTGATTGTAATTTTAACTAAGCAAAGAAATTACGGAAAGGTAAGCAAACTACGCGCTTTATATACGAAACCAATCAACAGAGAATTTTCAGGAAAATGAAAAACCAATTATTAAAAGTTCTGCAACAATTTTCTCATTGCTTTATCAAAAAGACAATTTGAATATCTCAGAAGAATCTACAGAAGCAAGCAATGATAAAGAGCAACTTTACACAACAACAACTGGAAATAATGAAGACTCCACTGAAGAACCAATAGAATTAGAATCAGCAACTACAGAAAATGAAATTTCTACATTATCTACAAATAAACAAACATCTACAGCTGAAGAAAATCCAATATTGATTGCTATTGAATCTACTTATTTGGCAGCTACTAAGCTACTGACATCTACAACAGACAAAGCAATAACTGAAGAAATATGCCAACGTCCTGATTGTAAAAAGATGGCAATTGATTTATTGAAGAATATCAATTTTTCCATTGATCCGTGTGAGGATTTTTATCAGTTTTCTTGCGGCAATGAAGCCAAATCATCCAATTCTGAGGATTTTGATGTTTTGTTTGAAGAAATTGAAAACCCAAAAGACGATGGTGTGAGGAGTTTTGGAAGATTTTTCAACAGTTGTTTGGATTATACGAAACAGTTTGATACAATTAAACAAAGTAGGTACCAGTTTTTAGTATAGTACTTTTAACATAATTTGCATATTTTTTGATTTCAGTTTTGAGCATAAATGTCCGTTCGAGCAATATGACCACATTGCTTGGCTTTTTGTTGCTCCGCCAATCGACTCCTCTATTTGAAATAGTCGAGGGAAGTAATGGTGAAATACAGGTAAGAATTTTGAATTTTTTTTAAAAAGTGATTAGGTACCATCGTCACCAAAAGTAACTGGGACAGCATCACATTAGCTCTTGTCCTATTATATGAATTTTATTGTCAAATATTTGTCAAACTATGAATTAAATGCATTGAAATGAATGACAGTAGAATTAGTCCAGGAGATTATTTTGCATTATTTGTGTCCCAGATACTTTTGGTGACGATGGTACAATTGAATTTGTCTTCTGGAAAAATCCCTGGGCCCTTATTCTTGAAACAGGAGAGCCATGAAAACGAGTGTTCTGTCTTTGTTACTCATAGTATATTTGCATGTCATATTGAGAAGGACAGAGCAATCGCTTTCATGAGAACGTTGGTCCAATATACCCAGACAACAATAAACTTTGCCTCTGCACTACAAGATATTTCGTTCCTATAGTTTGACAGAAATAACCAGTGACAGTCATATATAAATATATATCATGTGAAAAGTATATTCTAAGTGTGAAATAAACAATAAGATTCTATTAGGCAATTCAAATCAGCAGATAATTCAAGATGGCGACGTGGGCATAACAGGCTTGATAATCGTGAAGGTGGTGTAAACATGCCTTCTTGTGTTGTGTTGTGTGTTATTCCCAAGAAACCATATTAAATTGAAACGTCAACAATGGAAGAACTTCATAATTTTACTTATTCCATAATATTTTCTACTCCTCCTAATAGTCCTAATACAGAATACAGAATTTCTGTCAATGCAAAAATTACTTCATTCCATTACCATTACTAGTGGAAAAACATTTTATTACATCTCTTGTTATGAAATAAAATATACCTACCTATGTGGCGGTATCTAAAAGAGATATTTAAAATAAGAATACAAATAATAGCCATCTAAAAAACGTCAAAAATTTTGTGAAAATGCATAAGAATTCAAATTCTGTATTAGTGATGAAAAATAGTATATTTCCTAACTAGTGCGGAAAATGTCACTTTTCTACACGCGATTGCAATTATTGTCATCAACATTATTGTATCTAGATATGTACCCAAAGTTGTTTGGAAGAGAACCTACCTCTTAACTTTTATAACGTCATTTGGTGTGCCCAACAAACATAGTGTGAATCTTCATAGGAACCACCTAGTAACGTCATCTATTTCCCATTACGAAACAATCTATCAACTTTAGGAACCTTACAGAGCTGTCTGCTTACTGAAGTACTTGGAGTACAAGTACAAAGTACATACATATTTTTCTCAAATATACTCCAATTACTTAATAAAAGTACTTGAATTTTTCAGAGTTCTAAATTTGAAGTACAATTGAAGTATTTCAAGTACTTGTACTTCAAATACATATTATAATGGAGTCTTTCTCATAAATATAAAACATGACAATTTTTTCAGTTATTACTTATTTTTTTTGGAACCTTTGTCAAAAAGTAACCAAAAACAAGAATATAAAGTACTTCAAGTCAAGTCGAGCTTCAAGTTCACTTGTGAAGTATCTACCGGGTGATTGTCTATATTTTGCACCCACACCTATCTCACCTGTTTTAAGAGATACTAAGGAATGTCAAATGTGAGAGTTGTAGGTGATATCTGAAAGTTTTCAATAAAGTTAGTATAAGTATACAGGGTGTGTCACACATGTGTGCCAAAGCAAAATTATACTTTTTAAATGGATCACCCCGTATATTATTGACCTATTGGATTAGCCTTTCAAACCTAAATCCAAATATATTAGGTTTTTTAGGTTTATTCCTAATAGTCCGGGAGAAAATATTCAAGTAAAATATCCATATTATTTCTTCAAAATGGGATATTCAGAGGCTGAACTATAAGGAATAAACCTGAAAAACCTAGTATATTTGGAATCAAGTTTGAAAGATTAATCCAATAGGTCAATAATATACGCGGTGTTCCATTGAAAAAAGTATAACTTTGCTTCACAACACTTTTGTGACACACCCTGTATACTTGTAACTAACTTCATTGCAAAGTTTTTGTACTACCTATATTCTTTTCACAATCCGTAGTCCAAAGGTGAAGGTAAATTTATCACTTTTCACTATCAAATAACACAAGAAGGTGATAATTTTTACCTCTACCTTTGTACTTCGGATTGTGAATAGATAATATACAACTTTCACATTTGACATTTCTGGGTGTTGGAAATAGGGTGAACTATAGGTGTTGGTGCAAAATTTAGACAATCAGCCGGTACTTGCAATACTTTCATTGTACTTGAAATACTTTTCAATGTACTTCAAATCCTTGTACTCAATAAAATCAAGTACAAATGCAAAGTACATTGTTGAAAATAGTTCAACTACAAAGTATAAGTACCGTTTAACTGTAATTCAAGTATGTATCTACTTATAAGAACTTGGAGTACTCACAATTTCAAGTATTTTTATTAAAGTACCTGACAGCTCTGGAACCTTATTATTATGTGCCTAATTTTAAACATTTTTAAATAATGCGGAAAAGTACATTTCCGCACTAATATTTGTACCTACCAATTTTAGATATTTTTACTTTTCCGCACTAGTGAGGAAAAGTGGTACTTTTATGACCCAGAATGCGTGAGAAATTGGGGTTTCTCGCACGCTCGTAGAGCCAAGATTTTTTCTAAATTTTTTTGTATTCCAAGCTTTTGAATTTTCATCTTTGAAAAGTTGACATTTGACTCAGGTCCTAATTTGACAGAAAAAATGACAATTGACACTGATTGAGAAAACTACAAACCAAGTGAAAGTTTGAAATAAAAAATAGACAAAGATATAAGTAACTGAATGAGAAAGAAAGAGATGTAGATATAGTAGGAAAGAAAAAATTGTGACACAGATGTTGATTATTCCTTTGACGCTCGAGTAACTTTGTAGCCAAATGAAAGGCCCGGAATAAGAGAGAAATGAAGATATGAGAAATTGAATGAGTAATAAAGAGATGGAGATAGAGTAGTTATTTTCAATAAGAAATGTTGTTTTTGACCAATCAAAAACCAGAATAATAAGAACAGGACAATGTGACAAGTATTAGAAATTCAACGAGTAAAAGAGAGATGAAGATAAAATAGAATAAATACACATACGTCACATTTTTTCAATCTCTGTCTCTTTCTCACTTATTCAATTTTAAATATCGTTGTTTTTTTCTTCGTGATTCCAAACTTTCCATTGGTCAGACACAGAAATTACAAGACATCACTCAAATGAAAATATGTGCCATTCTATAATCCTTTCTTCTCTCTCTTTTTCATTGAATTTCTTATATCATTATCTTTCTCTAATAATTCCAGGCCGAGAATAATCGAAATTCGTGTCACAATTATTTATAACCTAAAATAAACTACTTTATATTTCCGTCTCGTTCTCACTCGCACTCGTTGAATTTAATGCAGAATTTTGATTCTTTTTTTTTTTCTCTAAACTTTGCTTGATTTTGTTTCTAATTTCATTGTTTACCGAGTTTTAAATGATTGTAGAAAGTTAAATAGGTATCCTACTTTATCTCTTTCTCTTTCTCGTTAATTCAATTTTTTGACTTTTGTACATTCACTGTCTCTTGCTTTATTGGTCAGACAAAAAAAATTGCAAGGTCACTGAAACGCCAAAAATAATAAAAATATGTGTCAATATATGTCTTTCTCTCTCTTTCCCATTGAATCTTTTAACTTTTTCGTATTATTCCAGGCGTTTTATTGGTTAGACACAAACTTGCAAAGCCACTCTAGCCCCAGTCATGTTTTAACTTATTGTAGGACAAGTTTTGTTTATTCAATATGGCGCCGTGGCATATAACAAACTTGAAGACCGTGAAGGTCCCTTCACATTCAATTTCAATATTGTTTGCAATTTGAATTGAAATTGAATGTAAACGTAGCTTCATGGTTGATTCGCCTAATGGTCTTTCTATTCATTCTATTTTATATATTTATCTGTGTTTTACTTATTGAATTTCTAATACAATTATTGTCATTATCTTTCTTAGTGAATAAGAAAGAGATGGATATAAAGTAGGCTAAAAATAATTGTGACACAAATTTTGATTATTCTCGGCGCTTGAGTGTGCTTGTAACTTTTGTGTCTGACCAATAAGAAGCCTGGAATAATAAGAGAAATATCATGATATAAAAGATTCAATGAAAAAGAAAGAGATGGAGACATAATGAAATTACACGTATTTTCACTATTCCTGGCGCTTGAGTGACCTTGTGATTTCTGTATTCGACCAATTAAGATTCTGGAATAATGAAAGTAAGAAATAAAGATATCGAAAATTCACTAAGTGAGAAAGAAACAAAGATACAGTGGGAAAAAAATGTGACGCTAATTTTTGGGCGAATTACCTTATAATTTTTATGTCAGAACGATCGATCAGGAGCCTGAAACAAAAAAATCAAAGATAGCGATAAGGAAAATTGCATAAGTGAGAAAGAAACAGAAATAAAGTGGGAAAAAAATGTAAACACTAATTTATGGGTATTTCCGATTCTCTAGTGAATCAATTATGGATTTGAAATAAGAGAGTGAGATGTGAGATATAACATAGGAAACACAATGAGTAAGAAAGAGACGGATATAAAGTAGGAAAAGAAATTGCAACACGAATTTTAATTATTCTCGGCGCTTGAGCGGCATTGTAATTTCTGTGCCAGAACGATCAAAAACCTAGAATAAAAAAATCAAAGATAGCGATATGGAAAATTGAATAAGTTAAAAAGAGATAGAGATAAAGTGGGAACAAAAATGTAACACTAATTTTTGGGTATTTCCGACGCTCTAGTGAATCAATCATGGATTTGAAATGAGAGAGTGAGATATGACATAGGAAACACAATGAGTAAGAAAGAGACAGATATAAAGTAGGAGTGTAAATTGTAACATGAATTTTGATTATTCTCGGCGCTTGAGCGGCCTTGTAATTTCTGTATCAGAACAATCAAGAACCTGGAATAAAAAAACCAAAGCTAGCGATATGGAAAATTGAATAAATGAGAAAGAGACAAAGATAAAGTGGGAGAAAAAATGTAACACTAATTTTTGGGTATTCTCGACGCTCTCGTGAATCAATCATGGATTTGAAATAAAAGAGTGGGAGATGGCATAAGAAACACAATTGGTAAGAAAGAGACGGATATAAAGTAGGATATGTAAATTGTAACACGAATTTTGATTATTCTCTGCGCTTGAGTGACCTTGTAATTTCTGTGTCAGAACGATCAAGAACTTGGAATAAAAAAATCAAATATAGCGATATGAAAAATTGAATAAGTGAGAAAGAGACAGAGATAAAGTGGGGAAAAAAATTTAACACTAATTTTTGGGTATTCTCGACGTTCTAGTAAATTAATCATGGATTTGAAATGAGAGAGTGAGATATGATATAGGAAACACAATGAGTAAAAAAGAGACAGATATAAAGTAGGACAATAAATTGTAACACGAATTTTGATTATTCTCGGCGCTTGAGCAGCCTTGTTATTTTTGTGTCAGAACGATCAAGAACCTGGAATAAAAAAATCAAAGGATAGCGATATGGAAAATTGAATAAGTGATAAAGAGACAGAGATAAAGTGGGAAGAAAATGTAACACTAATTTTTGGGTATTCTCGACGCTCTAGTGAATCAATCATGGATTTGAAATAAAAGAGTGAGATATGACATAAGAAACACAATGAGTAAGAAAGAGACAGAGATAAAGTGGGGGAAAAAATGTAACACTAATTTTTGGGTATTCTCGACGTTCTAGTAAATTAATCATGGATTTGAAATGAGAGAGTGAGATATGACATAGGAAACACAATGAGTAAAAAAGAGACAGATATAAAGTAGGATAATAAATTGTAACACGAATTTTGATTATTCTCGACGCTTGAGCAGCCTTGTAATTTTTGTGTCAGAACGAGCAAGAACCTGGAATAAAAAAATCAAAGGATAGCGATATGGAAAATTGAATAAGTGAGAAAGAGACAAAGATAAAGTGGGGAAAAAAATGTAACACTGATTTTTGGGTATTCTCGACGTTCTAGTAAATTAATCATGGATTTGAAATAGGAGAGTGAGATATGACATAGGAAACACAATGAGTAAGAAAGAGACAAATATAAAGTGGGATAATAAATTGTTATACGAATTTTGATTATTCTCGGCGCTTGAGTGGCCTTGTAATTTTTGTGTCAGAACAATCAAGAGCCTGGAATAATAAAATTAGAGATAGTGATATGGAAAATTGAATAAGTGAGAAAGAGACAGAGATAAAGTGGGGAAAAAAATGTAACACTGATTTTTGGGTATTCTCGACGTTCTAGTAAATTAATCATGGATTTGAAATAGGAGAGTGAGATATGACATAGGAAACACAATGAGTAAGAAAGAGACAAATATAAAAGTGGGATAATAAATTGTTATACGAATTTTGATTATTCTCTGCGCTTGAACGGCCTTGTAATTTTTGTGTCAGAACAATCAAGAGCCTGGAATAATAAAATTAGAGATAGTGATATGGAAAATTGAATAAGTGAGAAAGAGACAGAGATAAAGTGGGAAAAAAATATATCACCAATTTTTGGGTATTCCTGACGTTCTAGTAAATTAATCATGGATTTGAAATAGGAGAGTGAGATATGACATAGGAAACACAATGAGTAAGAAAGAGACAAATATAAAAGTGGGATAATAAATTGTTATACGAATTTTGATTATTCTCTGCGCTTGAACGGCCTTGTAATTTTTGTGTCAGAACAATCAAGAGCCTGGAATAATAAAATTAGAGATAGTGATATGGAAAATTGAATAAGTGAGAAAGAGACAGAGATAAAGTGGGAAAAAAATGTATCACCAATTTTTGGGTATTCCTGACGTTCTAGTGAATCAATCATGGATTTGAAATAAAAGAGTGAGATATGACATAAGAAACACAATAAGTAAGAAAGAGACCGATATAAAGTAGTAAATGAAATTTGTCGAAATAATATATTCTCGAATATAATAATATTCTCCAGAATATTCTATTTTAAATATTAAATAATAGAGGTATAAAATTTTCCATAGCAACAACACCCAATATGCCGCGCCACTTGATAGCAATTCTAATTCTTCGAACGCAATCTAGAATTCAATTCTGATTGGTCGAACACGACTCCGGAATTCTAGGCTTTTCCTTGAATATGTAAAAGAGACCACGGAGTCGCATTGTTAATCAGTTACGCGCAAGAGTTTGTAATATTAATAAGAGCATCGTGGCAAGCTCAGTTTTTGAAGTTTTGTTTTTGGCTGCGGTCAAAAAATCATTCACACAATTGTAAATTTGTAAATAGTAATGTAAAGTAGTGAAGTAGTTCTGTGAATAAATACTTAGTGGTGTAAATAAGACAAAACCAGCGTTTAATTTCAATAAAAACAGCGACGAATTCAATATACAGTCCACTAATAATGAACACCACGACAAAATTTGTAAAACGAAACCAACAAAAATAGCTGTAAAAAATTTACCCAATAAGCTAAAAAGAGGCAAAGATAAAGTAGGATAAAAGTTTGGAATAATAAGTGAAAGATAATACTTATAAGAAATTCAATGAACAAGAAAGATGGAGGCATAATAGAATAACAAATATTTTCAATATTCCTGGCGCCTGAGTGACCTTGAGTTTGTGATTTCTGAATTCGGCCAATCAAGAGCCTGGAATAATAAAGTAAAAAACAACGATATGAAAAAATGAATAAGTGAGAAAGTGACATCAGAGATAAAGTGGAATAATTAAAATGTGACGTTAATTTTTGGGTACTTATTTCTGGCATTCGAGTGAGTCAATAATGAACATGAAATAAAAAAGTGAGAGACGACATAGGAAACACAATAAGTAAGAAAGAGACTGATATAAAGTAGGAAATGAAAATTTGTAAAACGAAACCAACAAAAATATAGCTTTGAATTGAAGTATTTTGTGACCCAATGTTTCCAATATTGTAGGAAAATTTTTGGATGGGGTTAAAATAAAAACAGAAACCTGGTAGCTTGTATGTGGACGTTTCGACTTATGTTAAGTCATCTTCAGGACACTTTCAAGAATCCTTTATTCGTCTTTTCCAGTCGTAGATATTTCCAGTTTATAATAGTTTTAGATGAGTATTTTGTGACTCAATGTTTCCAATATTGTAGGAAAATTGTTGGATGCGGAAACCTGTTTACTTGTATATCAACGTTTCGACTTATAATTAGGTCATCCTCAGGACACTTTTAGGAATCCCATATTCGTCTGTTTCAGTCGTAGATATTTCAAGTTTGTAATAGTTTTGAATGAGTATTTTGTGACCCTATAAATTAATCCACATTAACATTACAAAGACTTGATTTTCGTAAAATTAAAATTTCAACTTCTTTTTTTAGATCCTTCCACCAAACTCCTACGACACAGACATTTTGGAAAACTGGTCATTGAAAACTCACATAGACAAACATTGTTTAACTTCCCGGAATTTAGATGATTATAAACAATGTCAAAGCAAAACATTGAACAAAATGTTGAAAAACTTACATTCGTTTAAAAACAATGAGAAGCCAATGGGAGATGATTTTGTACTAAATATTATAAAGGTAAAACAACAAAATAAAAATCCTAAAATAAAAATAAATAAACTTATATATTTCAGCAACAAATCCCCACTATCAATATCCAAGAAGCTCTCTTCAAAAAATCTTGCCAACAAGTCGATATACCACAACTCAATAAAAACTATCCCATTATTGACTGGCAAATACTTTTAAGTACAATCTCTGAAACTCAAAACTCAATTTGCATTTACTTTAAAAGCGACTATTTCGACCCAATAATGTCAGATTTGAAGTCCAAAAACGAATCCGAAGTCCTCAACTCCATAAAAGACTATTTCCAGTTGCAACTTTACCAAAACTTAATTTTCCAACGAAATAGTGAATTTTGCATGAATCAAGCAGTTGCATTGATGCCTGAAATTGCTGAAAAAATATTTCAGAAATATGTTTTCAATAATGAACGATTTGAAAAGATGTTTGAAGAAGTTAAAGCTAAATTCAATTGGTTGATTGAAGTATCAAAACTCAAAGAAGATGACAAAAGTTTGCTACAAAATAAGCTTAAGCTTTTGAAAATTGAGTATAACACAAAGAAATTTGCACCAGAGGATTATCATGATGCAAATGATGATTATTTGACAAAATTATTTATGCTACTTGAAGTTAAAAGAATGATTCACAAGGAGAAAAAGACAATTTTATTTAAAAAAATTGATCTAGTTAATGACACAATAATTGGTGAGTTTTGATTAAGTAGTAGGTATAAAAATTTGATTTTTTTTATAGTCATTCCCTACAGCTTCATTTACAAAACAACTACCAGGCCAGATTTTCATATAAAATTCCACATAAGCAGGGCGATTGCAAAATATTTCCATCAACAAAATATAAATAACAGCTTATACCAAGAGTTTCAGAAAAGTCTGAATACAAATCTGGAAAACAAATTAGATGGCGGATTATTGAAAGTGAATGTAAAATAGGCCTTTGATTCTTATTTATTTGCTGATTTTTTGTTTTCTAGGAAAATTGGTCTAAATTAGTTCCGGCTTCAACATTGGAGAGGACTGTAGATAATTTGGCTTTGCAAGTAGCTTTTGAAAGTTATTTTGCTGGAAATGTTAATACGAGGAAACTGCCATGGATATCTGAGGTTTATACGGATCAGCAACAGTTTTTTTTGGGGATTGGACAAGGTACAATATTGTCTTCAGAAGATCTTTTGTAGAGTACTTTCTGATTGCATGGAATTTTCAGGCCTATATAATTGAAATTCAGCTTTATACAAGTATAACACCTGACTCCATTTTAACTCTATGAATGCTCAGAAACTATATCTATTGTAATTGTAATTCAGAAAAACACAATTGTACTTATTTCAGAAAACCTCAATTATTGTAATTCAGATTATGTTAATTCATTGTTATTCAGAAAACTACATATGTGATTTAGATGTGAGTAATTCAAAAAACCTCATTTGTAATTCAACTGTAATACAGAAAATTTCATTCTTTGTAATTCAGAAAATCCCAATTATAAATCAGATGGAACATTAGATGTTCCTAATTCGCATTTCAGTTTTATAATTCGGATTAAAACAATAAAGTTTCTGGATTTCAGTTGACATTCTCTGAATTACAAATGGAGTTTTCTGAATTTCAGTTGAGATTTTTTGATTACAATCGAGATTTTTTGAATTACAAATGAGATTTTCTAAATTTTAAATAAGATTTTCTGAATAAAGTACATTCGAAATATCTGAATTACAAATGAAATTTGAAATTGGAAAAGTTGTAAACCTACCTACTATTTCAGAATAATTTTGGCTCTCAGGCACTTTCTTCAACTTTAGATGACTAAAATAAGCAACAAATAAGCTGCAAACAAATAAATTATTATGTCTTCATCTCTCTCTTTTTCATTGAATCTTTCATATCATTATCTTTCTCTCATTATTCAAGGCTCCTGTTCGTAAGACATAAAAATCACAAGTTCACTCAAGCGCCAAAAATAATCAATATTCGGGTCACAAATATTTCATCCTACTTTATATCCGTCTTTTTCTTACTTATCGTGTTTCCAATTACTACGTTTTCATTAAGTTTAGAAATCGTTTTAAATATGGTTTTGGTATTGAAACAAAACTAGTTAAAAACTCCATGAAAACGTAGTTGTCGTCTCTCACTCTCTTATTTTAAGCCCATTATTGAGTCACTAGAGGGCTTCAATTTTCTATGTTGCTGTTTCTTACATTATTCCAGGCTATTTTATATATTTCCTATACTTTATATCCGTCTCTTTCTTATCCTTTGTGTTTCCTATGTCATCTCTCACTCTCTTATTTCAAACCCGTTATTGGGTCACTCAAGCGCCGATCATACCCAATAATTAGTGTCACATTTTTTTATCCCACTTCACCCTTGTCTCTTTCACACTTATTCATTTTTCTATATTGCTGTCTTTCAATTTATTATACCCTTATATACTCTTGATTCATTGGACACAAATAGCCCAAATTTGTGTAATTATTGATCCCATTTTATCTCTGTCCCTTTCTCACCCATTAAATTTTACACACCATTTCTTTCTATTCCAGGCACTTGGAGGTCAGATACAAGACCACTCAAGCACTGGGAATAAACAAAATTCATGTCACTTTTTTTTATCCTACTTTATATTTGTCTCTTTTTTAATCATTGAATTTTGTATGTCTTTGTTTCCTACTTTGTTATACCCAAGTTTTTTATTTGTCAGACAATTCTATGGTCAAACACAAGTCCCATTGAATTTTGCATACCATTTCTCTCTTATCCAGGGACTTGATTGGTCAGATACAAAATTACTCAAGCGCCGGGAATAATCAAAATTTATTTCCTTCTTTATATTTGTCTCTTTCTTAATCATTGAATTCTTTATGTGTGTCTCCTACTATATTATAAGAGTAATGGTATATTAGCGAATTTCTCCCTAGATTTGAGGACATTTTGAGTAATTAGGGAAATTTATGTCAGATTTAGGGATTTTTTCAATCCCATAATATTTTACATGCCGCTTAGTACAATGTGTTAGAGAGAGAAAAGAAAAACAATTTATATTGCTTATATACTCCTGGACAAAATTATCGCACCACTGCACATAAGCATCATCATAAGCAGTGGTGCGTTAATTTTGTCCAGGAGTATATATATCGAATGTCTCTTTCTAATAGAAATAGAGACAGATACAAAATAAATATTTTCTACTGAACATAATTATTGTTGTTTTCAAATTCTACGTTCATCTACTTGTATTTGTTGACAGTTCGTTCAAATGCGGGATTCCCTCATACTAGAAATCGAATATATTCTGAAACTAGGGATTTTTGTATCAATCTAGGGACTTTTTTGCGCTCGTATAAGGAATTTCAACTACACGTATCTACCAAAGGAACTTTATTTGAAATTGATAAAACTTTGCGAACACGCAAATATGACACAAATGACGTCATTTTCGATTGAAAAAGTACATGTCAAATAAGCCGTGCATCAATTTTCAATCCCAAATGACGTCATTTGCGTGTTCGCAAAGTTGCATCAATTTCAAATAAAACCCCCCAACACTGTTATAAGTACACAAGCTCTTGATTTGCTAGACACAAATAGCCAAAATTTGTGTTCCCATTCTATTTTTGTCTCTTTCTTACTTATTGAAGCCAACGGGAATAATCCAAATTTATATCACTATAGTCTATCCGTGTCTTATTCAGTGAATTTTTCATATCGTTGCCTTTCACTTTGTTATTTTAAGTGCTTGATTGGTCGGTAGACACAAAAATTTGAGAATTCAATTTCAATTCTGAAGAAATTCTGAGCTGATCTAGTTTTTTTCTCTCTCTCTCTTACTCGGCAGAAATTGAAAAAAGACCAGAACAGTTTTTATAATAATTGAATGAGAATAACTCGAACCTATAAAAATTACAAGACCACTGATTTTTATTTTAACTCCATCTCTTTCTGATTTAATGAATTCTTCACTTGATTGGTCAGATACAAGACCACTCAAGTGCTGAGAATAATCAAAATGTGTTTCCTACTTTATATTTGTCTCTCTCAGTTATTGAATGATTTATCTCTTACTTTGTTATACCCGAATTCTTGGTTTGCCAGACACAAATAGCCAAAATTAGTTTAATATTTTTTATCTCTGTCCCTTTCTCATCCATTGAATTTTGCATAGGTACCATTTCTTTCGATTCCAGGTATTTGATTGGTCAGATACACGACCACTCAAGCGCCAGGAATAATCAAAATTCGTGTCATATTTGTATATCCCACTTTATATTTGTCTCTTTCTCAATTTGTTGTTATATCCAAGCTCTTGATTTGCCAGATAGCCAAAACTTGTGTAATATTTTTGTTCCCATTGTATTTTTGTCTTTTTCTTATCAATTGAATTTTGCATACCATTTTTCTCTATTCCAGGTCAGATACTCAAGCGCCGGGAATAATCAAAATTCGTGTCACTTTTTTTTTCCCCACTATATATTTGTCTCTTTCTTAATCATTGAATCCTGTATGTCTTTGTCTCCTACTTTGTTTTACCCAAATTCTTAATTTGTCAGAGATAAATAAATAGTCAAGATTTGTGTATAATTTTTTTCCCATTTTATCTGTTTCTTTCTCACCTATTGAATTTTGCATAAAAAACTACTCAATCGCCTGGAATAATCAAAATTTGTTTAACGTCATCACTGGATGTCAAACTAAAATGCACTGCTCTCTCTGTTGGTTGAAAAAACAATTGGAGTATATTTATCTCTGTCTAACCCACTTGATATAATTGAACAGTCCAAAGCCTACTTTGATGTTTTTGCAAAAATAACCATCTCTGTCTAACGCATTTAAAACAATAAAGACAAAACATTAAATAAAAGTTGTTTGTGTTGTTGCCACATGTCAAAATTGAAATACAGTGCTCTGTTGGTTGGAAAAACAATGGAGTATATTTATCTCTGTCTAACACAGACTTGATATAATTGAGCAATCCAAGGCCAACTTTGATGTTTTTGCAAAATAATAATCATTTCTGGAATAATTAAAATATGTGTCATTCTAATGCGTCCATCTCTTTCTTTTTTATTGAATATCTTATATCCTTATCTTTTTCTTATTATTACAGGGTTTTGATTGGTCGGATACACAAATTACAAGCACACTCAAATGCTAAGCATAATCAAAATTCATGATACAATTTCCATCTCCTACTTTATATCTGCCTTTTTCTTACCCATTTTTGTTTCCTATGCCGTCTCTCACTCTCTTGATTGAAATTTTAGCTCTAAAAAAGCTTGTTCTAATATTTCCGAATCGCTCATGTTAAATTTTAGCTCTAAGAAGATTAGAAATTATCTTTTTTAACTCTTAATTGGTCGAACACAATTTCTATTTCCTACTGTATATCTGTCTCTTTCTTACTTATTGTATTTCCTATATCGTCTCTCACTCTTTCATTTCAAGCCCATTATTAAGTCACTAGAGCTCTGGAAAAACCCAAAAAATATTATGTCACATTTATTTTTGTTTCACTTTATCTGCGTCTCTTTCTCAATTATCCAATTTTCTATATCGCTGTCTTTTCTTATTATTCCAGACTCAATGATCGAAGACAGAAATTACAAGGTTACTCAAGTGTCAAGAAAAATTAGAATATGTCATTCTATTATGCCTCGATCTCTTTCTTTTTTTATTCAATATCTTGATTATCTTTCTCTTATTATTCCAGGCTTTTGATTGGTCAAACATAAAATTTACAGGCCACTCAAGCCTACTTTACATCCGTCTCTTTCTTACCTTATGTGTTTCTTTTTATTTATTATCTTTCTCAGTTATTCAATTTTCCATATCGCTGTCTTTTTACTTTATTATTCCAGGCTCTTATTGGACATAGAAATTACAAGGTCACTCAAGCGCCAAGAACAATGGAAATATATGCCATTTTATTATGCCTCCATCTCTTTTTTCTTTTTTTTTTTTTTATTGAATCTCCTATATGATTGTCTTTCTCTTATTATTCCAGGATTTTGGATGACAAACACTTGCATATTTCAAATGGAACACCCTGTATATTTTTGGCTAGAATGATAGATTTTTTATCTGATTCCAAATATACCATATATGTTGATATTTGGTTTAGCTGTCTTGGTTTCTTATATGACTGATTAGGCTTGCTCAATGCAATTTTAAAATTAAATAGCGCAAAAACAACTGAAGCAAATATCAACATATATGATATATTTGTAATCAGAAGAAAAAAAGCTATCATTCTAACCAAAAATATACAGGGTGTTCCATTTGAAAAATGCAAGTGTTTGTCATTGTGACAGTTGGCACCTGTCATTTGCCCGTTTTGATATTCGCAAAAGATAATCAGACCTATGATGTATCCTGTCCTGTTATGTTAACGGCTGTGTTAAGGCTCAACATCTATTTCCGTCTCTATTTTGACGTATAGAATAAACAGTGACAGATAACTTACCGTTGCTGTTAAAATAACAGAAAATGATACATCATAGGCCTGTATAGACATAAAACCCTACAATTTTCATATTTAAAGTTTTTTTTCCACCTCGTATAGCTAAAGCTGTAGGTAGGGATCAAAATATAAAGAAACACCCTGTACAAGAAATTTACGTGCTGGAAAAATTCAAAATTACTCTCATCCTACTTTATCTTCGTCTCTTTTTGACTCATTGAATTTCTTATAATTATTTTTGTTAGTTTCGTGTTACAACTTTCCATTCCCTATTTTATATCCATCTCTTTCTTACTCATTGTGTTTCCGATGTCGTCTTTTACTCTTTTATTTCAAGCTCGTTATTAAATCATTGAAACGCTGGGAACATCCAAGAAATAGTGTCACTTTTTTTTTAATTTCCACTTTATCTCTGTTTCTGTCTCACTTTTTCAATTTTTAATATCGCTATCTCTTACTTCATTATTCTAGGCTCTTGATTGGCTAGATACAGAGAATATAAGGTCACTCAAGCACCAGGAATAATGAAAATATGTATAACTCTATTTATGATTCTATATCTTTCTTTTTCATTAAATTTCTTATATTATTGTCTTTGTTTTATTATTGCGGGCTCTTGATTGGTCAGACATAAAAGTTACAAGGCCTAAGGTCACTCAAGCGCTAAGAATAAACAAAATTCGTGTCACAAATTTCCATTTCCTACTGTATATTCGTCTTTTTCTTACTTATTGTGTTTCTTATGTCGTCTCTTATTTTCGTATTTAAATTCCATGAATGAGTCACTTGAGCGCCAGGAGTATCCAAAAATTGATGTCACATTTTTCTTAATTTCACTTTATCTCTGTCTCTTTTTTGTTTATTCAATTTCTATTTTGTTGTCACTTACTTTATTATTCCTGGCTTTTGATTGCAATCTTTAGCTAAATTTTATCATTTTCCAATGAGTTTAGAAAATTTTTAAAAAGTTCTGAGCTTCTAGTGTTTCAACACGTTGAAAAAAACTCGTTGAATTTTTTTTGGACTTTTGATGAATTTTCATATTTTTAAATAAGTTTCTAGAAAAATTCCAAAAAGTTCCAACGAGTTTCTAGTGTTTCAAAATGTTGAAAAAAACTCGTTGGATTTTTTGAAATTTTATATTGGCTTTTAACGAATTTTTATGATGAGTTTCTAGGAAGTTTCCAAAAAGTTACAACGAGTTTCTAGTGTTTCAACATGTTGAAAAAAACTCGTTGATTTTTTTAAAAAAAAAATTTGTACTTTTGATAAATTTTTATCATTTTCCAAAGAGTCTCTAAAAAGTTTCCAAAAAGTTCCAACAAGTTTCTAGTGTTTCAACATAAGTCGTTGAGTTTTTTTAATTTTTTTTTCCGGACTTTTAATGAATCTTTATCATTTTCCAATGAGTTTCTAAAAAGATTCCAAAAAGTTCCAACGAGTTTCTAGTGTTTCAACATGTTGAAAAAACTCGTTGATTTATTTAAAATTATTTTTTGGACTTTTGATGAATTTTTATCATTTTCCAATGAGTTTCTAAAAAGCTTCCAAAAAGTTCCAACGAGTTTCTAGTGTTTTAACATGTTCAAAAAAATTAATTGATTTTTTTTAAAATTTTTTTTTGGACTTTTAATAATTTTTTATCATTTTTCAATTAGTTTCTAGAAAGTTTCCAAAATGTTCTAACGAGTTTTTAATGTTTCAACATAATGAAATAAAGTCGTTGAGTTTTTTCAAAAAAAAAATCCGGATTTTTAATGAATTGGAAAATAACCAATGAGTTTCTAAAAAGATTCCAGAAAGTTCCAACGAGTTTCTAGTGTTTCAAACATGTTGAAAAAACTCGTTGAATTATTTAAAATTATTTTTTGGACTTTTGATGAATTTTTATTATTTTTCAATTAGTTTCTAGAAAGTTTCCAAAAAGTTCAAACGAGTTTCTAGTGTTTCAACATAATGAAATAAAGTCGTTGAGTTTTTTTTATTTTTTTTTCCGGACTTTTAATGAATTTTTATCATTTTCCAATGAGTTTCTAAAAAGATTCCAAAAAGTTCCAACGAGTTTCTAGTGTTTCAACATATTGAAAAAAACTCTTTAGATTTTTTTGAATTTTATTTTGGACTTTTGACGAACCACTACACGAAAATCGCGATCGGCACACAATAATCACTCTACCAGTCTTGAAACTCATCGTGGCCCCACGTTGGGCGCCAATTTGTAAGATAATTATTAGGAACTTTACTTTTTTTTTACTTTGAAATCTACTCATTTTTGACTATGAATTTTAGTCACTTTTGATCGCGAAAATTTTACTAATTTTTGATAGAGAATTTTCTGTGACAGGAGACCTTTACTTATTTTTTACCGGGAATTTTACTTATTTTTTACTATTTCATAGATCCTGAATTTTGAGGTTTACCTGAGAATTTCCAGATTTTTTTCTGGAAAGATTCTTAAGATCCTGATTTTTGAGTCATCACTTCTTGGTTCTTCTTCTAAGAGGAAATTTTTAGGATCTTCCTTCAAGATTTTCAAATGTAAACTACTTACTCAAATGTAACTATAAAATGTCTAGAAATTACAGTTTCCTTCCCTTTAGGGCAATTTCAGCTCTAGAAGAGCGAGAAATAGGATTTTCATGCATCTCTGGTTCAAAAGAAAAGGAATTTCATGTTATTTACTTCAAATTTTAGCTCTACAAGAACAAAGTTATAAGATTTTTGAGCTTCTCAGAATGAAATTCAATTTCAAAAATGAGTTTTTTTAGACTTAAAAATGGTTAACATAAGAGTCTTATAATTTTTTTAGTTCAACTTTAGCTCTAGTATCTTAACCCATAAATAATGCTTTTCTGATTCAATTTTGACTCTAAGAAATTTAAAAATTAACTTTCATCTACTTTCTTTTGTAGATATTTGCGAATCTTCTTTGCCCCAACCACAAATCATAGAAGAAACCAAAAATCTACCGCCAAAATTCCGCCTCGATGCCATGCTAACAAATTCCCAAAATTTCGCAAAATCTTTCAGCTGTCCTGAGGGAAGCACCATGAATCCTGCAGACGAGAAAATCGAATTCGATCAGTTCGAATTCGAAGAGGAATACGATTTTATTGAATAAATATTATGCATTTATTATATACTTAAATAAAACAAAAATAGTTGGTAATTCAAGGCATTTTATTTGAATCATCCCAGTCCTCCACCAGCTAAAGAAGCTAACACATTGCTACCGATTCTATTAGCAATATCTGCAGATAAATCGTCTACATCTGAAAGTACTAGTGAAGTTTTTGTAGACAAAGGAATTCGGGTTTGTGTAGCTCTATATCCATTATCGTCAGCTATATAGCTAACATTGTAAGCTACATTTCCGATTTTATAGAAATAATAGCCTCTAACAACCCAAACTTGTCCAGATTCTTTTTGAACAAATTCTCCTGATTCTTCTCTTTCAGAATCAAAGGCAGAATATCTAAATAAAAAAGTTGTGTTTTTTTAATTATTTAAAAGTTACTAAATGTAGTTACTTACTTGAAATGATACCAACTATTTCCGATTTCATTCAAATAAGGCAAACATATCGAGTAATTAATTGTACACAAAACAAACAAAATAATTAACATTTTGCATAAACGCACTAAGAAAAATAATAATTGTATGACTGTTGGTGTAATGAATGCAAATCGAGGCAGACAACTGCGATTTTATTTATTATAAGTAAGAGATTCAACAAAAAAATAAAACCTTATAATAGCAGGCTTGTTCGGAATGATGATTCCTTTATTAGTGGATTTTTCTTTAAGGTTTGCTGAAGGTTAGGCTGTGTCACGATTTTGATCGAGAATTTGCCTTTTTCGGTGTTGAAATTCAGATATTTGATCAAACTAAATGTTTTCGAATACAATTTAACATTTAAATTGGAGGAATTTGATCAATAAGTCATTTAGAGTTAAATTTGAACTATAGAGCAGCTTCAACAAACTTTTTTGGAGTAAAAGGATTTAATCCAGACATGTATGAAAAGCTTATTACAGGCTCTTGTATGGAGCTCTAGGATTGATCGAAATAGAGACGTAAACTGTAATTTTTGACCAGTTGAGCAGTGGTTTAAAACATCAATGTTTTTTTCTTTAGAGCCAAAATTCGATTGGAAAAGTTGTAGTTCTAAAGACGCCGAAGAAGGTTCAAGACTAAAAATTTGTAAAAGTTCCTGATGTTCTACTGAGCTAAAGAATCATAGTCCAACGATTCTAAAACAAAATTAAAGATTGAAATATTGAAAACTTTGAAGTTTCTAAAGACAATTGGAAAATTGAAAACAGCACTTCTAAAAGATCCAATAGACTGGTTTACTTTATGTCCGACTAGATAGGTACTTTTTTCGATCCGGCGATATGTAGGTACAGTAGTACAATTTTCCTATAATTTTTTTTATGTTGACAAATAATAGCGAGCAGTGTCCCCCCTGGGGCACTCCAGATGTTGCCATAATATTCCCAGATAGGAATGAACCTATTTTTACTTTTTCAACTCGACCAGTGAAGGAACTACGGAACCACTTTATTATATCCAGGTGAAAACCAAATTTATATAACTTATCAAATAATAAACCATGATCAACATTGTCAAAGGCCTTAGAAAAGTCAGTATATATAGCAACAACTTGTTTTTTGCCTTCCAAGGCCTTCAGCAGTGATGACTGGTATGAAACCAAGTTTGCGGTAGTGGATCTGCTTTTGGTAAATCCGTGCTGAGCCTCATCTAACAGCCCCCGGCAGACCCATGTTAATTGTATGCATATCAATTCATCTAGCAATTTTGGAATCACAGATTGATGGGTACAAATACATCTATGATTTTTAACGTTTTGCTTATCGCCAGGTTTAAAATTTGGCAACAAGTAGCTATTTTTCCATACATCTGGATATTCTGAACTATTAAGAGAGAGATTGAACGGTATAATAATAGGCGTGGTTAATGTGCAAACACACCTCTTCAATAGCAACTCTGGAACTCCATCAGGCTCTACCGTGACTCTCATAGGCGCCAGAACCATGGAGGCAATAGGGGCTTGAGCCCCCGTAGTGAATTTGCTATGGGGGCGAAGCCCCCATAGTGATTTTGGCATTGTAAGTAGTGGGTGTAGTGAGTAGGTACAAAAATATTGAGTTCCTGATCCTAATATTTCTAACTATTTATTTTCATATCAAACTTAATAGAAAAAGCTTAGATGACAAATACCCATTACCCAACACATCGGATCTTTTGAAGAAGATAAAACGCTGCCAGTATTTCACCACCTTAGATATAGCTAGGGGCTTCCATCAGATCCAGGTGCATGAAAACGACATTCAGCACAGAAAACGGGCATTATGAGCTCTTGCGCATGCCTTTTGGTTTAAAGAACGCGCCGGCTACATTCTAAAGAGTTATGGATAATATTCTATATCCCAATATATTGAGCAACTTTAACACCGAAAGATGGAACATCCCATCAATAATAGTTATTCATTATAAGTATAAGGGAAAAAAAGTATTAGATTTTAGAGCGAGATGTGGCTTGCCTCCTGTCGCGAAGCGGAGGGAGACAACAACAAGGTGGTCAAAGAGGGCTGGGAATGCTGGAGGTGGAACAGGGGAAATCGTTATCTTTGGTTCTCTATTTAACCTTAGAATTTTTCTAGACATTTAATTCTATTGCATTAAAATTAGCCTGTGTTGACCTGTCAAATTTGTATATAGGTAGTTCATTTTTTGGCCATGCCATTAGCTTATTTATAGTTTGTTTCGTGCCATAAGTTGAGTTTTTTCCAATTTGTTTTGAATGAAAGCGAGGCATTATAGCGAGAAAGTGTGTTGATTTCAGTCTATATTATTAACGTTCTACTATAAATTTTCATCAAAATTTATTGAAATAGCCGCATTGCCGCTTGCCCTCATCATTAGAAGTCCTAAAAATACCGTGAAAAGACCCAACAATTTCGCAGCTGCGGCGCTTTTCTTCCTGCAGCGCTTGCGGCGAATTTGCTACTGCTATAGGGACTGAACGATAAACTTGGTGAGTAAACAGTGGAAAAGTACTCCCCAAATGCACTAGCTATGCCTTGCCCCTCAGTCAACAGCTGATCATCATAAACCATTTTTGAAGGCAAATCGTATGTTTCTTTCTGGTCTCTAATACATTTCCAAAATTATTTAGGGTTTGCCTTACAGCTGTCATTTACAACTCCCATGTACTGGGTTCTCATTTGATTAGAGAGCAACTTGCACTGAGACCTATGAAGAGAGAATTCTTGATAGTTAACATCAATCATATCTTTCAAATATTTTTTGTGGGCATTTCTCTTCCTAAATGTCAGTTGTTTAAGCTCAGGCGAGAACCATTTTGGAGAGGTATTATTTTTTGATTTTTTTAAAGGTACGTAATTTACAATGGCCTCGTTAATGATCTCATGAAAGATAGAAGTAGTCCTATTAATATTTATGTTTGCTTAAATTTTTTCCCATTGTATAGAAGCTAAAAAATTGTTTAAACTTACATAATTACAATTATTGAAATCAAAGTAGAAATTATCAACAATTAACTTTTTATCAGAAACTTCCTTAGTCATAACCTTACAGTCATAAGAAATGTGGTGATAACTGTTATCAAATAGCGTATCACTTGCCTTATTAACCACTAAATTACCAATATTAGTAAAAGCCCAAGAAAACACCTCTGTCATTTGGAATAGTATTCACTTGGAACAGCTTCAAAAACCCAAAAGATGCAGCAACAGTCAGTGCATTCGAATTTGCAGGGCACTCCACATTAACTCCATAATCATCATCCACCCACACTGCCTCGGGTAAGGTATAGTCACCAAAGAGCAGTAATTTACTGTTTGGATAGCGCTGTAATATAGGTTGGACAGACCTGGACCTGCAGTGCATTTCATAAATGTCATTATGTTGATTGGGAGGAATATATACGCCGCCAATTATAAAACATTCTGACCCAATATTAAACACAATAAACAGCTATTCAATTTTATTTTGGCCCACTGGTACAATGGATGCTGATAAGTATTTTCTAGCATATATGAGAACTCCCCCACTCCTACTTTTCATGCTGGTTTCACTAGATCTATCAAAACGGAGCTATTATATTTATCACATTGTATTTCAACATCAGTAATACTATCACAGAGATTACTTTCTATTATTACCAATATATCATAATCCGAACAGTTCAACGTATTAGTGAGGTCTTCAATCTTTGTGTTTGGGCTTTAATTTCAATAATAGGAAACCCATTTCTGTATTTCAGAGCGACTGATTCGCTTTTTTTTATATGATCCTGGTATTCATCCCTAATCTTCGTATGAGTCTCCTGTTGAATTTTGTCAAATCCTTAGAAATCCTGATCTTGGTCGAACCAAACTTGTTGCCATTCTTGAAAATACTGTACACAACATGCCAATACGCATCATCTTGAATATTTTTTGATTTTCTTCAGCTAAATCCAAAGATGACAGAAGATTCTGGACATGCTCACTGTCATTTTCAATTCGTTGCGGACTTAGACTGCGGAATGTTGAAAATTATAATATTGTTGGCTCGTCTAGCACGCTTGTTAACCTCACTTGTGAGATACTCTATATCTTGGGTTGGGGATTCCATATTTGCCTCATAAATACTTATTCTCAACTTAAGAGCCACCACATTTTTAAAAATTACAAAGAATCAACTTTGACAGCTGATATCTGAAAGACGAAAACGGCCTGGAATCCAACGTTTCTTTTGCTCCTCTATCCGATGGTTTTTTTTGAAAATTCGGAAAAAAAAATTGAAAAGAAAGATGGGGAGGCTAACTTTTTTCCGGTACATCGGAGAGAACTGAAACTCGGAATATCGAGTTGAAATCACATTTTGAATATTCCCGATTTTTGATTGGCTCCAAATTATCCGCTGACCAATAGAATTATAGACTGGGCTCCATGATTAAAATAACTCTAGCCCTTCGGGCTCGCGTATAACTCCGGTCCTTTAAGCTCGCGTATAACTCCGGCCCTTCGGGCTTGAAAATTACGATTGTTGTAGGTACCCATACATAAGGGCGGTGATCATGATAATCCTGCAACAGAATAGAATGAAATGTCTAGAAGAAGTCGTAAGGTTAAATAGAAAACAAAAACTATTTCCCCTGTTGCACCTTCAGCATAGATTCATCAAAAATAGATTCACCAGGCCTAATAAGAAGATAAAAACAGAACTCATAAGTGAAGAACAAGAAGTTGGTAGCATTTCCAGTTTCAATTATTCGGATTTATCAATTTCTTCCAGTCAGTGATGATGACCATCTCTCAGATCGCTGTTTCAAGATCTAAGTCACTAACCTTTATATTCATTTTCAAGATTCTTCAATAGAATTGCGATAATTTTTACATTGAAAATATAGAGCAGTTGCCAGTTAGTATCTGATGTTATTGTTGGGAGCTTTCCCAACGTAACTTTCCTGCGCTGCTTGTGAACTTTGTATTAGTTATAATTATTATTATCAAATAGGTTCTGGTTGTCAACTGTGCATTTTGTTGTTGTTCTCTATGGAAATATGAATTATTATTATGTTCAATTTTTTTATTATTTTTATCATTATATGCAATTGTATAACTTTCATGGTGCTCTGCCTTCGACGGCATCCCAAATTCATTTATCCATTTGAATGGTATTGAAATTACGAAGACTATTATTAAAGATGGAATTTATCATAGCAGTAACGGATTGCACGTTTTATTACTTGCTAGCAGCCAGTGATTAGTAAACTGAAGCAATGTGAGTTCTCCACAGTTATATTGATTTGCCTAAGAAACTAATTTTAAAGAACAACACAAAAAGTTTTCCAAATCTTATCATCATATAAAGACTAGCCTATGATATAGCAAATGGTCCTGGTACATCTATGTGTGTGTGTATCTGACGAAATTTTTTCACAAGATTTGTCTATATCTGCATGATATAGTGATCATTTTCTCTTGTGATACTCCTACGTCAGTAGACAACATCATCTCGAAATGGAAAATCAAAACTGCTAATTGGGATAATTTTGGAAAATTTACGCAAATGCAAACTCATAATTTCGGCAAGTAGATACCTATAATTATCTATAAATTAACGAATACATTTTATTTTAAGTAAATTCAATAATTTTTATCATGTAATAAATGAAATTTTTGTTTGTTTAAATCATTTTTCATTATAGATTTCGAAATCCACATACCTAATCAATATAAAAATAATTGTAATTTGAATCGCCAGTATAAAATCGTCAGTCTCCTTATAATTTTGTAAACCTTTTAAAAATGTCCACCAAATTATTGTTTCTGCTTTTTTTAAGCTGTTTGATGATTAATTTTGCCACTTGTCATCCACGTTACTATTCAAGTGAAGAGAGCAACTCGCCATCTAATGAGTAAACATTTATTTATTATTATTTTCTATATATTTTACCTTTGTGTGTGTGTGTGTGTGTGTGTGTGTGTGTGTTTTTAATTATTGTTCTTTTGATTGTAGAAATAACGAGCCCGAATATGGACCGAGAGAATCTGAATCTGGCACTATGAATATTCTCGAATTTCTTACTAAAATAGCTCAAGTGCTAGTTCCTGCTGGGGTTTGGAAGTGATTGTAACTAAAAAAACGGATCATGGGGCCCGGATTGATTCGATATTTTTTTGGCTGATAATAAATTAGGAAAATTAGTAAATGATAAGAATTATAAATTATTGTTGAATATTTGTTTTTATTATTTTAAATCAGACATCAATGTGTATACAGCGGAGCGGTAGAAGAAATATGACATTATAGAGTTCCACTTGAATGCACTTTTTGAAAGGAAGATGATTTCCCCAAATTATCAATTGTCAATCAACACTCTGATGTGGAAGTATGTTCCATTCTCCTATATTTCTCCCTCATTTAGTCTAAAACGAAATCGTTCAGAAAGTTTTGCATTCGGTGTTCTCTTTTAAACCTATAGGGGTTGTGGAGCAGTGTTTAAATCCTCTATTTCATTTGACACTTTTTTGTTTTATCATTTTATACATTTTCTTCTGGAATTTTCTGCAAACCCATTAGATGTTGGAGTACAATCACCTGGTAACCTGGAATATGGACATTTCCAATATTTTCAAGGATTTTCCCCGGTATCCAATTATGAAAGTGGCTTTGGTCAAAAAGGATACAAATATTAGAGATTTCAATACACAACAAAATATGATTTAACGTAAGATTTTCAGCAACGTCTCTCTAATTCTGGAAAAGGAAATTCTACCACAACTTATCAGGTCTAGAAACAAATAAAATTGAAATTCATTGCGGGATTATCAAAGTTGTTTTTAGTCGAGGAAAACTTTAACTGAAGTATTTTTTCACTGACAGGAGAAATTTGAAATTTCAAGGATTTATTGACAAGGATTTAAGGCAAAATTTACCAAAACATCAAATTGTTTGAACCTCAAATTAGAAAGTTGTGTGTAATTATTTTCGAATAGACTAGTTTTTGTTTGAGGAAAATTCAACTGATGATTTTTTTATTTGACTCAAAACCTGATTTTTGACTCAAAAACCAGAGTTCAGAGTTCCATGTCGATCCTTAGTCAAAAATCATCGAATACATTTTAATCAAATTAAATTTTTTTGATTGTCATTAAATTAAATTTCCTTTTGTTTTAACCATTTTTTTTATTATAGATTTTAAAATCCATACAATAAATAATAAAAATAATATTGGTAATTTTCATTGGCAGTATAAAATTGCCAGTCGTCTATAATTTTTGTAAACGTCTTAAAAATGTCTATTAAATTATTTCTTCTGTTTTTTTTAGGCTGTTTGATGATCAATTTTGCCAATTGTCGTCCAAGTTACGACTCAAGTGAAGACTCTGGGTCTAATGAGTAAATATAATTTAGTTTTTATTTTCTATATTTGTATGTGTGTGTGTCCTTTTAATTATTATTGTTCTTTTGATTCTAGAGAATATGGCTCGAAAAAAATTAACAAGGGAGAAACCATTACTGGACGACTTTACAAATATCTAGATTCTAAAGTGGGTTTTAGAAATGGAGAAAGTATTTACGACTCAGAAAATGGATCATGGGGACCGGATTGATTCGACATTTTTTTTGGCTGGAGCTAGAATAATGAATTTGAAGAAACTAGTTATAAATTATTGTTGAATACCTATGTGTTTTTATTATTGTACATTAAACAACAGTCAAATTTTAGACAATATATGCGTGGGTATACCTACAGCAGAATGATAGAAAAATTATGACGTTGTAAAGTTTCACTTGAATGTACCTACTTTCTGGAAAGAAGATAATTTTTTCAGCCCGAAACTAGCAATTGTCAATTACCACTCTGATGTAAAAGTATGTTTCCTTCTCCTACATTTCTCCCTCATGTCTAAAATCAAATCGTTTAGAAAAATTGGCATTCTGTGTTCTCTTGTAAATTTACGGGTTACTGTTTTAATATTTAAATCCTCTAATTCATTTGAGGTTTTATTGTTGTTAAACTTTTTTGTGTTATCATCTTGAACATTGGAACATGGAATGTCATCGATATATGCTGCCAGTACCTTGTAATCCTGCTATCATAGTATCCATAATCTGTTGAAAAATAGACGGTGATACTTTGATACCAAAAGGCATTCTATTATATTGAAATAGCCTTTGATGTGTATTAATGGTTAAATATTGTTTGAAATTTTCATCTATTTCAATTTGAAGAAATGCGTCAGAAAAATCTACAATGCTGAATACGGTGGGTGGCGTTTGCAAGTTTGGAAAATATGTCTTCAGCACTTGATGCTTAATGTATAATGATTAATGATATGGTTTTAATGCCTAATTGAATCCAGTAGAATAATTCTCACATTTCCGTTAGCCTTTCAGGAAACAACTATTGGTGCTGCCCAAAATATTCCACTTTGGAAAATGATGGAAACACTATTCCTCATCAACTTGTTCCCTGGTCTTTTGGGATAAAACACTGGCTTTACTACTTCGTTAATAAATAAATTTACTTTGAGTTTTGTGCATTTTCAAAGCGTGTTGTCAAATAACTTGATTTCAATGAAAAACTAAATAATCAATTTTGTTATTATTGCAAATTGAGTTGATTGGTATGTTCCATAAATTTAATTTCTTACTCCAGTCATTTCTTAATAAACTGAAATTCTTAATGGATCAAAACATGTTCCTGTATATGACTTTTCTATGAACGAAATTTTACAAGCAATAGTGAGATATTCCCCGCAGAGACATTTTTTGCCCTATGATGATATATTGTGAATTTCTGATTTTCCTATATCAGCCCCTGCATTCTCGGTAATATGAATATTGAAACAGGGGAGCAACGTTCCCAGGAGAATGAGTGTTCCGTCTTTGTTACTTATATTATCATTTGCAGACGAAACACTCGCTTTCCTGGGAACTCCCCTCACCGGCGTATCCAGCCCATGCGTCTGGGGAGGGTAATCAGCCCATTTTTTCCGGGTGCCACGCCCAAAAACGTTCACTTCGAACCTTCGAAACATTTTTTTTCTACGAGAGTGAGGAAAATTGAACAGTGCGGAAAATCGATTTTCTCGCACGGTGCGGCGAATTTTTTTCCGCACAGATATCGTTGCGGAAAACGGCTGTCAAAAAAAAATCAATAAATTATCACAAATTATGTAGGTATATATGTACAGGGTGTTTCAGATTCGAGCCACATCATTAGAATCTCGCGAACGGTAAGATATACAGGGTTGGTTAAATTGGGGCAAAGTTGCCTAATTGGATGCTTAAGAAAATGCCGTTTTGATATTCAGGATTTTCCGAATACTTCCGGAGATATCCGGAAAAAACCGAAATTTTGCAAAATTGTTATTATTTTTCTCAGACTTTATTTTGAAGTGATATTCCAAAATAAATGTCACTTCATCATCGCCACCTTTTTTCCCCTACAAGATACTACCATCAAATTTGAAATCTGACGTTTTGTCTTTGGGCCACCATCATCAACTTCATTTTTTTAAATACGGACCCTTATTTTTTATTTTAGATTTCATAAGCTTTTGATGTCACAAAATCATGTGTTGCATTTATTCAAAAAAATTATATTTTTGGTACTTTCCATAAGAACCAAATGTGTTAGAGAGAGACAGAGAAGAGAATTTTGGTAGGAAATTACTAAAAAGTAGAAAAAATATTTTTTCGAATAAATGCGATACCTCATAGGTTTTGGGACATCAGAAGCACTAAAAATCTGAAATAAAAAATCCAGGGTCGTATTTAAAAAAATAGAGTTGATGATGGTGGCCCAAAGACGAAACGTCAGATTTTAAATTTGATGGTAGCATCTTGTAGGAGAGAAAAAGTGACCATAATGAAGTGATATTTTTTTTGGAATATCACTTCAAATAAAGTCAGGAAAAAATAAAACCAGTTTTGCAAAATTTCGGTTTTTTCCGTATTTGGAATATCCTAAATATCAAAGCGACATTTTGTTAAGCATCAAATTACGCAAGTTTGCCCCAATTTAACCAGCCCTGTATGGTAACATCGATACTTCAACATCGATGCAACCGATGTATCGAAGTGAAAACATCGATATTTCACAAACATCGATGTTTTCAGGGTATATAAGTAAACATGGAAATTTTTTATTTTTACAGAATGTTCAAAGCTGACGTCACACACATAACCTTGCAAATACATGTTTGTCCCCTTATCGAAAGCGACGTTATGTGACTTTTGACGTAATAGCTAGCGCCTGCGTGTAAAAATAGACCTTCAAACGCTTTGTTTGTCCCCCCATTGAAAGTCAAATGTGAGGTTGTGTGTGATGACGTCAGCTAGTGCATAAATTAGGCACTTGTTAATAATAACAATCATGTTTCCTATAGTCTAAACAAAATCTGTCTTATTTCACCGTCTTGCATTTGTAGGAGGATGGAGATTCGAATATAGAATAGGAACTTGCTTGTAGCGATTCATTTTTACAGATCTAGTGCTAGAAAAATATAGCTTTAATATCCTTTCCTTATACATGCTTGTCGAAAAAGACGCCAATACAGTATACACACAGTGTCATTTTTTAACTAATGTAATTTGTAATTCGCTATGAGAGCTGGGTATTATAACGATTTCCATTTGCAGAACTAGTGCAAGTAAAATTTATCTTTAACTTTTTCTTATTGTCGATTTTCACAACCAACATCGATGATAACATCCATGTTTCAAAATTTTACCATCGATGTCAAAACATCGAAACATCGGGTATTAAACATCGATGTTTTTCAATAATCGATGAACATCGCACATCCCTAGATCCCAATGATGTGGCTCGAATTTGAAACACCCTGTACATACTTATTTCCGCACGTTTGTAGAAAGACTTTTGTACCTTCCTACGCGTCTTTCGGTGAACGACAGAATCGTGCGGAAAAAATCATTTTCCGCACTTGTTAGTTAAATATATTCTGTACTACCAACAAATAACGAAAGCGAACTCTGATAGCGAATTCCATTGGAATAAGGGTTAGTGCGCACTGAGTGTATTCGTATCTTATTCTACCAGCTTGCATAAGGAAGAGATAAATTTTTTTTTTTTTTGCACTAATTTTACCAATGGAATTCGCTATGAGATTCGCCTGAAACTTTTTAATTATAGAGATTTCTATTGGTGTAACTAATACAAAAAATGTATTTATCTCTTTCTTATGCAAGCTAGTAGAGAAA